CCAGCGGCTTTTTCTTTTGGCGTGATTTTTAATATTATTGATTACGGATCGAAAGATTGCGGACATACAGCATCATTGTGAATAGTGGTGAAACTATTAAAAGTATAGCATAGCTAGTGCTTATTTGGGTTATTCGTAAAATATTTCAACCTCAAAAGGGCTACTAAAAAACGTAGATTCAAGATGCTGTTGATACAAGAAAAAGTTGATTCCGAATGCCGTGCTTTTAATGATGAATGGACCAGGAAATATTTTTTGGATTGGCATTCATTTTCAGTTGGCATTTTTACAGTACATACAGTTGGCCTTCTTTGGTATTGGGATAAGAATTTCTACGTTACTTTTTAATTTGACTTCAAACATTTTTTAAAACCAATTTACATGTTATTCTTTTATAATAACTTATCATTATACACAAAGATTAAAAAAACTTTATTTACTAAAAACAATGCGAACGTTTCTTTCCCAGTAGCACTAGGAATAGTATATACTGAAATTAACATACGAAAATTCTCGTTGTTATTGTTTTAATTATTGTTCAATTGTTTTAAATTATTCGTGTTCTCACAATTCTTGACGAAACTAGCACATGCGTTACTATACTACTCAAAAAGTAAACGCACACGAACATATGAAAACTGGCAAGTATCACTCACCATGTGTCTGATATGTCGTGCTGGGTGTTTGTCGATGCAAGGACAGGAAGTAGGCTTCGATTTCCTCTTCCGATGCAAATTTCGGATGCCTTGTGCTCTCTGAAAATAAAAGACCTCGTTAGAGATCGATTATCACTTAAATTCAAATTACCTAAATTCTATTTCCCTATAAATCTAATTTATATATGATGGCCGAGTGACTAACACTCTGGCGCTTGGTGCCACAGGTTTCGGATCCCAGATAGATAGATGCTTCTAGGGGTTAGGAATCCACTTTAAACCGTAGGTAACTGTCTAATATGGCTGTAGAGCGTTGGGAGGACAAACCTACGCAGTAAAAAGAATCATCTGCCGTCTAGAAATCTGCCAACAAGTAGACGGCCGGGACCCACCATGGGGTTGTTGCGCCGATGATGATAATTATATATAATCATTAAGAAATACTAGCAGAAGAACCCGCCATACGTTGTGCTGCCAAAAAAAAAATGAAGTAGAAAATTAAATATCGCGAATATATTCTCCTTGTTCCAATATATATTAATTTTCATGGATATCGTTTGAACGGTATATAACATGAAATGTTGCAGCACCCTCTGGTGGCAAGTAACAACAAAGTGGATAGAGCTGAACATATTTTCTATACTCGAATATATATTATTACCAACTCCCATAGCGATTGGTTGAACAGTATAGAAGTTGATGTACTCCGGCACCCTCTGGTGGCGACTTACAACAAAGGAGATATCATAAAAACATTCTCCATGCTTCGTCAAGCACACACAAAAAATTTCATTAAAATCGAGGAGTTCAGTTTAAGAGGAGTTCAGCGACAAACACACGTATAAAAGAATTATATCGATTGCAGCGTCCTCTACCGGGTCCAAATGGGAATCTAAATCATCCAGGGACCTACTAAACACACCCAAAAATTTCATCAAAATCGGTCCAGTCGTTTTGGAGGAGTTCAGTGACAAACACACGTATAGAAGAATTTTTTTTTAATAAAAGAGCATAGATAAAACTAAAAATGGTTTTGAATTTTATGCTGTCTATTTGGAAAAATTGCAGAACAGATACCGTTGGGATTTGACGCCAAAAATCCTTTTCGCCAAAACCAGCCAATTAACGGGTTGCAATTGTAAGTGAAGTGAATTGGAAACAGTACAAGAAAACTTGATTATCAAAATTGGACGACTTATCGCTCAATTGGCGTCATAAAAAAAAGTCGCCAAATCCCAACGGTCCCCATTTTGCGACTTGGCCGCCTATTTTTTAAACATTATACCATGAAGTCATAAAACTATATACAGTGCAAAATTAATGTACATTGATACTAGGGAAATATATTTATCTTCAAATATATAAATAAAATATATATTAAATACATATTACCAAAGTCATTAATATATTTATAAGCAAAAATGTTTAATTGTGAATAACACAAGTTAATTTATTCTCAATATCATATTGTTAAATTTTAATATCCTCTTATGAATTAATATGTAATATGTGAATGTAATTAATATGTATTTAGTAATAAATCGAATAAATAAATAATATATTTCATAATAAAATTTACAACAAATGATATAAATTTTTTTTTTTTATCTTTTTAATAAAAAGATAAAATTTTTGTTAGTTTTGATAATATTTTCTCTTTTTTTTTCAATTCCTTCTATTAGCTCACACTCTCCCTTTATATATCTTGTTCAAATTTTCAATCGTTCATAAAATACTTTTTATTCATCCATTCAAGTTCAAATACCTTTTTTTTTTGAACTTGTAGTAGATGACACTTGATATTAATACAGTTTTTTTCATATATAAATTCATTAATTAAATTTAATTAATTAATTATATTTTTTTTAGATTTAAGTTGCATATATGTACCAATAGATGTCGCCAGATAAACTTAAAAAATGAATGAAAATTATTTATAAAGGACTTTCTGCAATATATTGAAAAAAAAGTAGGAATTGACTTAAATTTTTTTTTTTTATATTACTTGTTTATATATTACTTTATACATGTATACAAAGTTTATTGAGTTGTAAAGAGGTCTTTAGTGTATATCGCAACCGCCTATTACTAATGCCAATAAAGTATTTATTCGTATGTATAAGTAAAAATTTCTATTTATTAAAAATATGTATTATTTTAATTTGCAGTATCCAAAAAGAATAATTGAATTTATTGTTTAATTTTGATATTTGAGCAAACCATAAATTTTAAGAAACGTAAATTTTCATCTTTTTATGATTAACATTAATACAGATATGCTTATTTAATATTCTTGTTAAGACTATAAAATAGTATATAAAGTTGAAATTTGTATAGAGGTTGTAATTAGTATGGGCTGATTATGAATTTAAACATTTGTATGTACACTGGGATTAGCACGCAATTAGAGCCTAGAAGGAGTAGTTGAGACTAAAAGGTAAGAGTAAATAAATGAATGAATGGAATTATAAAGTTGAAATTATGGTTATTTATATTCCTAAATATAATGGAAGTTATATATATAAATATATATTCCCTGCTTTCGTAATATGAGAATTGGAACTTTTTTATTTAATATGCATTTAATGCTCGTCTTAAATAATAGATGGCGCCACAAACAAAAACATTTAATCTAATACTGAGCGACTGGCTATAACAGGCAACTGGCAAACCGATTACGGAGTACCAATGGGAATACCCCTTTCCTCATCTTAATTCATAGATAAATTAATGTTTCAAAATTAATTAAATGGCACTCAAAATTTAAAAATACTAAAAATAAATAAAAGTAAAATACAAAATAAAAATTAAAAATAAAAGAATTTAAGTTTAAATTCGGTACAATTAGGGACTGGTTATAACGGGGTAAAAAAAGGACGTCTCGCATCGTTCCAAAAAATAAAAATGAAATATAAAATTTCTTTTTTAAACTTTTTAGAAAATATGCAGAAATTTTTACTACATATATGTATTTAGTAATAAATCGAATAGAATAAATACATACACTAACAAAAAAAAAAAAAAAAAAAAAAATGGTTTCAAAAAAAAATTTTTTTTTTTTTCAAATCTTTTAGTAAAAAAGATAAAAAATTTTGATTAGCTTTGATAATATTTATGAGTTCTTTCTTTCTTCTTCTTTTTCTTTTTTTTCTTTTTTTATTTTTTATTATTAAATTATCACGCTATGGCATTGAATAGATGATAAATTTTATAATTTCTATGCTTGCAATTCAATCCTCGCATACAAATAAGATATAAGGAAAATTTTATGACGTTCTTTATCGAATAACTAAAGTATTAAATTTGATGCATTTTAAATGAATGCATTCTAAAAGAAAGCAATATTCTGTATTATTTTGAAGTATTTCGAATTGAAAAAATCTTTTACAACAGTACTGCGTTCTCAATCACCTATATCGAGCTGCCGATGATGAGTGAGCCGCCGAGTGACTAGCGCTGTGTCACTCGGAGCCACAGGTTTTGGGTTCGAGTCCCAGCAATACCATGAATGTTGTGCTTCAAAATCCACTTTAAACAGTAAGTTACGGTCTAACATGACTGTAGAGCGTTGGGCTGACAACCCTACCCTGTAAAAAGAAAACATGTTTCGGAATTTGCCAGTAGGCAAACGGTCTTGGCCAACCATGGGGCTGTTGCGCCACTCATGATGATGATGATGATGATGATGATGATGATATCTAGGTACAATCCAGTAAGTGTAATACATACTCAGTAGAGTAATTTTATTTTGAAACTTTTTCTCATTTTTTATTGTAACATTCAGTAATATTTCAGTTCTGTTACTATATTAATTCAACAGTCTACTCACGAGCCAGTGGTCAAGTGTTTGCAGGAAAATTTAGACTGGAATATGCTGGCGGGGCACTTGAAGACAGGGAAACTCCACTGAAGTTGTAACAACGCGTATGAAACAGGCTGCAAGTTGGGTATTACCCAGAGTTTTTTCCCATACGACATGCAAAAGTAGGGCTGTTATCCCTAAAAGTCACCCCAAAAGGCAATACCTTACCCTTATTGCCCATCGATGGACTGTTTGTGTTTGTTGTTGTTTCTTATCCCACTTGGCTGTCCAAGCCCACGAGCCCATATGGACTCATGATTGAAGGGGAAGGAAGCAGCTTCTGTTGTGATGGAGCACCCGTGGGTAGAAGCCTGACTTTTGCTCCGTGACGCTCTTACAGTCATAGGAGACCGGGACCTACGGCTTAAAGTGGATTCCGAACCACTACAAACATCCATGGCACCGCCGGGATTCGAACCCGAAACCTGTGGCACCGAGCGCCAGAGCTCTAGACACTCGGCCATTCAGGTCCCAAATTTGCCAACGGCACGCAGTGTTCCCAGGTGGTCACCCACCCAAGTACTGACCGCGCCCAATGATGCTTAACTTCGGTGTTGCGTGTACCGGTTCTTAATCCGTTTTCAAGTCATTTTTATTATGCTAATGTTATCTTTATAATGCTTGCCTCACTTAACCATTTTAGTACTTGAGGTTGTAAGCCTTTAAGGCATTGGTGCCTCATTCCTCACCCCCCGACTGACTTAACTTCGGTGATCTAACGAGAACCGGTATATTCAGCATGGTACGGCCGTCGGGACTGTTTGTAGAATCCATAAGCGGAATAGGAGACTAAAAAATTTCCATTAATCGTTGCATCGAATTATAGAGCACCGAACCATGTAGTTAACTTTCGTCAGCATGAAAAGCAGCTTTTTATAAATGCGTTTACAAAAATTCTTCAATTAAAAAAATAAAAATAAAATAAACCGATATAATAGCAAATACAAATTTATACGTGTAAATATATAAAATAGACCAATAAACAGATATAAGTTTTGTCAAAACTAGATTATTGTAAGTAAAAACGCGTTGGCTATGTAACCGATGACTTTATTTAGGTTTCATTAGTTTAGTATTTGGTTCTAATGTAAATCTTTTAGATTTTATTGCTAAAACTTTGGCTCTGGCAAAGGGCTTCAAGTTTGAAATCCAGGCGGTGGCATGGATGTTTGTGAATGGTTCGGAATCCACATTAAACTGTAGGACTCAGTCGAATTACCCAATTGTACACAAAATGACCGTAGAGCGACAAACAAATCTTTGGTTCTAATGCTAATTATTTTTAAATTCTAATGACAAATGTTTTAGGTTCTAGCACTAATTCTGTTAGAATTAGTACTAGAGCCTAACAGAATTAGTACTAAATCTTTTAGGTTCCAATGCAAATGTTTTAGATTTTAATACTAAATCTTTTAGGTTCCAATGCAAATGTTTTAGATTTTAATACTAAATCTTTTAGGTTCCAAATGCAAATGTTTTTTTAGATTTTATTACTAAATCTTTTAGGTTCCAATGCAAATGTTTTAGATTTTAATACTAAATCTTTTAGGTTCCAATGCAAATGTTTTAGATTTTAATACTAAATCTTTTAGGTTCCAATGCAAATGTTTTAGATTTTAATACTAAATCTTTTTCTAGATTCTAAACTAAATCTTTCAGTTTTGATTTTAATGTAAATCTTTCAGTTTCCGATACTAAATCTTTTAGATTCTAGTGATAAATCTTTGGCTCTAATGCGAATCACAACGAGGGAGTTGAAAATAAGAGATCTAATAAATTCTGCAGATTTAGTATTACTTTTGCCTGTTGTGCATTCATTTCTACTTACGGTAACATTAAAAGTAAAGTCCTGTTTAAAAAACTTTTATTTTTCTATCTTCAAATCGCACGAAGCCTTCAAATGTACGATAAGGAAATTTGTAGCTCTGCAGTATTTTGATGATCTTTGTGATGGTTTTAAAAATACGTATTAGCATATTCAACAAATTTATATAAATCTTCAAAATAAATAAATAATTGAATAAAGTAAAATAAAAACAACACGTTCATATTTCTAATCGCCCTCCGGTGTTAGAACAATTATTTCTACAATGAATAAAGATTTATATTTTGCCACTTTAGATTAATGAGTTATAAAATTTACATCTATGTTAAAATGGTTAAAAATGCTATGCTGGATAAAAATTAGTTATTTAAAAAATATTAGTTATATCAGTTTTTTTTTTTGTTATTTTTATTATGTTAAATATTAATTTAGTTTTATATTTATGACAATCATTTTAATTCTAAAAAAAAAAATTCCGAATTCAAAAACAGATGCAAGAAGTGCATCATCACACGTCTTAGGTAACATGTTTTGGTAAATTTTATTTAAAAAAAGAGAATGGATACTATCTTTGAAAAAAAAAAAAGCCTTTAGGGTTAATCAACATTTTAAAGCATACAAGTTTAAATATTTTATTTTTTTATACATAAAATATAAATATTCTCAAGTTAAAACTATCCTACTTAATCACTTTACCAAAGTTTTAGCTCAATAAAATCAAACTATATCAATAATCGGCAACAGTTATTTTTAACGTTTATCAGAATTAAAAGACAAACATTAAAAATAAAGATTTCCTATAATTGCTTTTTATTTTAAATTTAAATGCATTAAATATTTAATTCAATTCAATCTCAATAAGTATTCAAATAATTCAATCAATTAATTTGCATTAATATTTAATTCAATTCAATCTCAATAAGTATTCAAATAATTCAATCAATTAATTTGCATTAATATTTAATTCAATTCAATCTCAATAAGTATTCAAATAATTCAATCAATTAATTTGCATTAATATTTAATTCAATTCAATCTCAATAAGTATTCAAATAATTCAATCAATTAATTTGCATTAATATTTAATTCAATTCAATCTCAACAAGTATTCAAATAATTCAATCAATTAATTTGCATTAATATTTAATTCAATTCAATCTCAATAAGTATTCAAATAATTCAATCAATTAATTTGCATTAATATTTAATTCAATTCAATCTCAATAAGTATTCAAATAATTCAATCAATTAATTTGCATTAATATTTAATTCAATTCAATCTCAACAAGTATTCAAATAATTCAATCAATTAATTTGCATTAATATTTAATTCAATTCAATCTCAATAAGTATTCAAATAATTCAATCAATTAATTTGCATTAATATTTAATTCAATTCAATCTCAATAAGTATTCAAATAATTCAATCAATTAATTTGCATTAATATTTAATTCAATTCAATCTCAATAAGTATTCAAATAATTCAATCAATTAATTTGCATTAATATTTAATTCAATTCAATCTCAACAAGTATTCAAATAATTCAATCAATTAATTTGCATTAATATTTAATTCAATTCAATCTCAATAAGTATTCAAATAATTCAATCAATTAATTTGCATTAATATTTAATTCAATTCAATCTCAATAAGTATTCAAATAATTCAATCAATTAATTTGCATTAATATTTAATTCAATTCAATCTCAATAAGTATTCAAATAATTCAATCAATTAATTTGCATTAATATTTAATTCAATTCAATCTCAACAAGTATTCAAATAATTCAATCAATTAATTTGCATTAATATTTAATTCAATTCAATCTCAACAAGTATTCAAATAATTCAATCAATTAATTTGCATTAATATTTAATTCAATTCAATCTCAACAAGTATTCAAATAATTCAATCAATTAATTTGCATTAATATTTAATTCAATTCAATCTCAATAAGTATTCAAATAATTCAATCAATTAATTTGCATTAATATTTAATTCAATTCAATCTCAATAAGTATTCAAATAATTCAATCAATTAATTTGCATTAATATTTAATTCAATTCAATCTCAATAAGTATTCAAATAATTCAATCAATTAATTTGCATTAATATTTAATTCAATTCAATCTCAATAAGTATTCAAATAATTCAATCAATTAATTTGCATTAATATTTAATTCAATTCAATCTCAATAAGTATTCAAATAATTCAATCAATTAATTTGCATTAATATTTAATTCAATTCAATCTCAATAAGTATTCAAATAATTCAATCAATTAATTTGCATTAATATTTAATTCAATTCAATCTCAATAAGTATTCAAATAATTCAATCAATTAATTTGCATTAATATTTAATACAATTCAATCTCAATAAGTATTCAAACAATTCAATCAATTAATTTGCATTAATATTTAATACAATTCAATCTCAATAAGTATTCAAATAATTCAATCAATTAATTTGCATTAATATTTAATTCAATTCAATCTCAATAAGTATTCAAATAATTCAATCAATTAATTTGCATTAATATTTAATTCAATTCAATCTCAATAAGTATTCAAATAATTCAATCAATTAATTTGCATTAATATTTAATTCAATTCAATCTCAATAAGTATTCAAATAATTCAATCAATTAATTTGCATTAAAAATTCTAAATCATTACTTAGTCCCTTAAAAGATAAATATAAACAACAAAGACAAACGTTAAAAATAAAGCTAGTATTTGATGGCAATTTATTTTAAATTTCATGGCATTAAATGTTTAATTTAATATGTCAAGAAATGTTCAATTAATTCATTTGCATTAAATATTTATAGCAATTCAATTGCAATAAATATTCAGTTAACTCAATCAATAAAATTACATTTAGATCTTTTAATCTAAATTATTAGATCTTTCTAGTTTTAAAAGAAATTGACAGCTTTAAGGAGAAAAGACGCTTCATTTTTTCTTTAGATGCATCAATTTTCAATTGATATAAAAAAAAATTGTTCATCTAATTAAATCTTATTTAAAAAAAAAAAAACTTAAATCCTTATAATTAATTTTTACTATTACATATCTCAAATCAAGCACAGACTTGTACATTCGAAACTGTTCATTTGGACTCGAAAACAAGAAATGGAATCTGTTGATTCTAAAAGAATGAGTAATAAATCTAACTTGTTATCCATTTATCCCGATAAAAACGAGCTATTATGCTGTTGCGACGCGCTTTCAACATGCATGTAATCAGAGAACAAACATTTGATGAGATTCAAGAGGGAGAAATTTTCACATCAAGTTTTGTACAATGGAAACTATAAAACGAATCCCCTCCTTCAGATAACTAACTGGTACTATTTCTCCCATTATAAATCACTTCATGTACAATTGTATTAGAAACAGAAAAAAAAAAAAAAAAAAAAAAAGTTAATATACACTTTTATCCAAAAATTAAGAAAAAAGAATACATTGTGACTGAAATTTCTATTAATTTAAATGTTAGCGAAATTTGAGAAAAAAAAATACATTAATCAAACAGTGCTTCACAAGTTAGACACACACAAAAAATTTTCCATGTCATGTAAATACACACAATTAAAATACACAAAACAATTAAATCAAAAGCATGATCATCTTCAGTATAAAATACAATCAACTCTCGATATTTTTGGCCACGAATCCAATACCGTTACAATCCAATACAATACAATACAATTATACAATCC